TCCGTTAAGAAAGTGGGTGCACAATTATATCTTGCATTGAATACGCATCTTGCTATTGGGCAACATGGTTGGCACAGGTAAGCAAATACAAGCCGTTAATGAGTCGTTGAAAAGGCCCTTCAATATCGATATGAATATGGTCGAATCGTGAGTCTGGGTATTAACCTGTACCTAGTTATGTCGATTTGATGGGAAAATGTAGCAGCTTACGCAAACCTGTATCCATTATTGAATACCGTGTTTTATCACAGGCTAAACGCAGCATTTAGATACAACCTTTTCTGTTACTCATCGTTCTGGATGGGCAAGGCCATGGGTGCTTAGATAACTTGGTGGCGTGAAGATTTGAGGACGAACGGACGTTACACACCTGTTAATACGTCATGGATGGTAATGTTGGGGATGCAGGAAGTGGAAAAATGTATAATGTTAAACCTGACTTATGTTTCCGGAACTCCTGCAGTTTGACGTCAGAGTATTAAGCAAGCGACAGTCGGAGTTTTGGCGGGATCGATATGCGAACGGAGAAGTGCATTCGATACAGCATTATTAGAGCCCTTGATGTGGAGGATGCAGTCTAAATGTTGTGACTCCCGCTCTCCACTGGTTAGCGTAAGTCAGCGGTTTTTGGTAGGTGTAGGTCCTAAACTCAATCACCTTCGAAGAGATATTGGGGCTGTTTGATTTTACGGCCGATAGTACTGTAACGCTTTTGAGTCTATCTAAACTTCGCTGTGAATAATACAAATAGCTGTGCTGTTCCGTTGACAGTCTTCTATAAGACTAAGCGAGTTGTTGAAAAAGACGCGTCTGGTCACTGCTCAACGAGTGTGAAGGACTTTGCTACAGGCTTCTTTGCCGTTGTGGTAGTTTTAAGTACTTCGAATGCTGTAGTTTATTTCTTAGCAATATTCTTAGGTAAATTTGTCAGAGGCTAAAGAAGCCGGGCCTGACTGGAAATAGAAAGTAAAAGAACTCGATTAACAGATTAATTATTAAACAGCAATTGAAAAGGAAAAGGACACCAAGATGTTCTTTATATTCCTTTTGATCTTTATTGTCTTAGAGAACGTCGTCAGTGTGTGCGAAAAGAAAATCCGAACCAGATAAAACGTGGTGGATAAAACGCCGAAAAGTGAGGGCTGGGATTTGCAAGTGGAAAGGCATTCACAAGGCTTCGAATAAATCAAATGGCTTTGCTCTTAATATGTTTGATGCACCTAGCGATTCTACCCAGATCTGATAACACGCTTGCACTAATTCGAATTTTGTAAACAGATTTTACGTTCTGGTTGGACATAAAACCATGTAAACCTGGTATGGCTCAGCGATCCGGCAAGGTAATTGCGTTTAAAGCTGCAAGTAATGTCCACAGTTTCGTTTTATCGGTAAGTATGTGGTCAGAGAAAGTAGTCGTGCAATGGCATTGAAAGGAAGATTGTCATGATTTTGTGCGTGATCGCGTGACGGATCTCAGTCCGCTTGTGAGATGGGTTGACAAGGTCTGGGTGTTGTTGAAGTTGGGTTGAATAAAGTCAGTTGTCCATCTGTACCGTTGCAACTTAGGTAATTGCTGTCGCTGATTCCATAGTTGGTTTGATCTATTCGCCGCTGGTTTTTACGGTCGTCACGTTGACCGAAATGATCCGAGAAGTTTGCGCCTATGATTGGAAGAGTTGCTGTCGCTATCGTGAAAACTCGACTAAATTAACTTCACAGATCTAGGTATGGCAAAAGGTGTTGCTGTCTCTAGTTAGAAATTGTTGAACCGTTGGCTGCTTGGAAGATGCAGGATGGATTTGAGGATCGCTTTTCGGAGCGTTGAAGGTAAATGTGAAATGTCAGCTCCCGAGTCGATCAAGAATCATCCACTGGCTGACTTTTCATGTAGAAATAGACGAAGGCTCAAGTGTCCATGAACAGTAAACGCTATTAATTCCAGGTGTTCCAGTTTTCCGGCCGTTTTCTAGAGTTTGAAGCTAAGTTCGCACACTGGACCCCAATTGGCTGGCAGTACTTTTGAAATTCATGGTACATGTATTAGCTTCGAGACTTGGAGCCTGAGGAAGGACTACGACGAGATTGTGAATAGTTTCGCTTAGATCTTCTGTCTCTCGAACAGTTAATAGCCAATGCATCAATTTCTGATTCCATCTGGTTGAGGCGGTGTTCAAAGGACTTGGATATTTCGCATGTTCTTATTCTTAAAGGAGAATTTGATTTGCTTTGAGTCCTGAATCAATTTTGGAGATTTGAAGTTATTTGTTCACTTCTAGACCTGCTATATCTACCAACTGTTTTAGTGTTGGAGATTTGAACATTAGGTAGGGGATTGGTTGGATGCCACTGGGAATTTGTTCAAGGAGAAATCCATTTTAGAAGTCATCTTGCAAGGAGCGTTAGTTTCGAGTTGATGTGTCTTTTGCAAATTCTGTGTTGGCTTAAGTTCTGACATCGTATGTCAAGAAAAGAGTTGGTCAATGTGTTCTCTAGTGGTGAGTTGCGTACGTTATGGGACCGTAGATTTTGACTGGTCGTAAGGTGAGTCGGTGCCGGAGTGAATCAGCGCGTCCAATACGTTGTATGCCAGCTCATTAGTCAGCACCTGGACTAGATATAAATATTTTGCTACTAACTGACAATATTGGCTCCACGAATACAAATTTCTCACACTGAAAGCCAACAATCAACGGAATTTGTCTTGAGCAGGGGCTTTTTTATACTGATGCCGCCAAGGGTATATGAAGGTTGCTGTTGCTGATTGTCCATGTTGTGTGGGGGTTGTCAAAGCTTCAACTGGGCTTTCATGTTTTCTGGTTTTTAGGGAACAATGCAGATTGGGCTTATAAGTTTAATCTTTGCATTGCAGAAAGCGAGTAAAATTGAATCCATATTTTAGAAGTAAAAGACGGAACATGAAATGAGCTTAACGAGAGTGGAAATGCAAAATTTGCTCGTCCTCTACAAAGGTGCAAAACATCAAATTGTTTAATATTACTGATATAATTTAACCGGATTTAGTTTAACCTCCCCTCCTAATCTGACTCAACACATCTTGACATCTCCTTGGGCTTTTTCGTTTATAGGATCAGCTTAAATTCAATTTTTTTCATCATAACCAATGGTTGGCGTGAAATACTGTAGGTTTTCTAGTTGCATGACCCTCATACATTGGAAATGTTTTTTTTGACAAATTAATTACGGTTGGGTTAATGCTTACTTTTTCGGTCCTACACAACGTTTTTTTGGATAAAATAACACCACGAATAATCCTGGACGTTACTCTCACTCATCCCCATAAAACTTGTACATTGTTGCATTCCTCTTTATTAAGCTAACGCCATGACGCCATTGTACATCGATAAAACGCCTAGCTAGGTTATAAAGAGGAGTCAAAATGGACGGCTGACTAAAAATTAGCTTTTTATATATTTATCGATAAATTTTCATGGTTTTTACTGCACAAGACCATTATTAGCGCACGCAATTTCAGTTTCATATTCCTTCTTAATTAAGTCACCTCGTGGATTTCTTTCAATTAACTTTCAAGTTTTGATAAGTTTCCTTATTTTTTGGTGAGCACACAGTACACTGCTTTTAGCCGATTGGTTTACATAATTCTTAACTACGCATGCCTCTTTTTAGCTGCATTCAGCCATTACATTCCCAGCACATGCGTTTTCTAGATTCTAAAAGGAATTATATGAAGCAGGAATTTCGACTAGTGCTGTAATTTACATACACACTCTACTCTAGATGCAACTTTTACGCATGAAAAGGCATTAATTATTGGGTGTATTTTAAAACAGCTAAACTCAAAGGATGATCTCACCTCCATTTTAGGGATAACAAATTTTAGCCCTCCACTTTTATACCGTGGTTTAGGACCGTAAATAAAGTGATCGCTCAGATATGTTGATAGCCATAATTTTTTCTTTTAACGGGCAACAAAAACACCGTTTAAATGCAGTTTAGTAAGCTTTCAATGTTACAGCCAAAGGTCGAATAACGCATTCGAATGCGCCCACTTATGCATGCCTTGTTTGACCTCAATTTGAACAAAGGTTGATAGTACATCTACTGTATTCAACCAATAGGATATGGTCGGTCGATATTTATATGCAAAGCAGTGAAAAAGGAAAAAACTAAGGGAAACATAGATTTGACTTTTTTTTACTAGAAATATATTATTGAAGACTAGCCTCCTTAACCTGACATGACTTAAACAAGTGACACCATTTTGTTTAAGCTTAAATTGTCCCAAACAAAGGGTGGACTTAGAGCATATCTTTGGGTTTTGCAGAGGGCATTTATTGTTATGAAGTAATATTCAATAAATGGTTACTTTTTTTACCAGAAAGCCTAAATTATCGAAGGCCAAGGTAATCACTGCTATTGCTTTACACAGAGCTTGCTATTACGCAGACTGAATCGCGTGTTACTAGCCGTAACTAAAATACCCTGTTTAGGCAAGCCTGCTTGGATTTTGGTCAATGTTTTTAGTTTATTTGGTAAACGAAAACCAATTATCTAAATGTTGATTGTTATTGATTATTATGTTTTTTAATGTGAGGTGTGGGTAATTCTTCATTGATTTCAACAGGCTTTGTTTAAAAAGGTTTAAAGAGCACACAAACCAATAAAAATGGGCAAATAAAAAAACATCTCAGGCTGTACTCACTGCAAAAATCCATTGCTTTTTGAAAGCTTGCTTTTAGTTCGTTGTTAGGTGATTGTTATAAATGCCTTCAAAGCAATTTACTATTGAAATTTCAGGAAATAGGTAATGAAGTTAGTTAAGGGCGTTGTCGGACATTCTGCAAATGACAAGCAGTAACTAATATCTTAACTAATTATAACCTGAAGAATCTCAGAACCGTGAGAATTTTATTCCTTCTGGAGCCATTTCATTAGCTTGAACTGGAGAATCCTGTACCTTCTGGCCTATGTTAAAGCCAAATTCCTTAGGACCCAGAAATGCAAGCCCTGGAACGTGAAAGATGAGCAGCATTGTATTTAATTCGCCTGTCCATTTCCATACGACAGGCTTCGGGGATGCCGCGCATCCGGAGTTCAATCTGGTCGATCAGGATGCCGGCGCATCAAAGCCCCCGGTCACAGCTCCAGGCGGTGGCAAGGGCCCCGGCGTGGACAGCGGCATCTCGTGTCGGACGGGGACGTGGCGCTCGCGAGGCTCCTCGGCAGCTAGATCGACTGGCCTCGAGTCCTTCGGGGTCATCGAATCCTACAAGAAAATGGACGTGCTTGGCGAAGGGTCCTATGCCACGGTTTATCGAGGATTCTCGCAGTACGTCGGCATCTGCACTGCCTAGGTTTGCTCATCACGTGCACCAACGTTGCCAAATTATCCATATCCATCTGCGGCATTACAAAATTTGTTGTTACGTAAAGTACCTAGCAGTCTGGATTGTAATAGAAAACATAAGGTGTTAAGACCTCATTAGCTACTACATATTACTTTCCGAAGTGATCCTTGCTGTCCCTAAAGCTGGTAGATATGTTTAAGTTTGGTGGCACCCGAATCCCAGAAGGCTATATTTTAAATCTTTGTAACAGCAAATCAGAATTCTAGTGTCAGGTCAGCCCCAATTTGAGTAGCATAGAAAAAGCTAATACAACCTTGACCATACTTTATTTCCCTTTCATAGCCTCAAAAACTGCGTGGTTGCTGTGAAGGAAATCCGGATTAATCAGGAAGAAGGGCTTCCTTTCACAGCTATTCGAGAAGGTAAGACCAAAATTTGATAATTGCTCTATTCTGGTTGAAATTCAATGCATCAATTCAGGGGACTCCCTAAGTTAACCAGTATTCATGATATGTTTCCAAAAAGACGGCTGTCACCACTAAAATCACAAGAACGCATCGCTTTGTGGGTGAGTTCCACCGTTTCTGTGAACGGCACTTCGTGCGTGATCAAGACCTTCAGAGGCGCATCGGTACTAGGGTGCATGACTCCCTCCACAATTGGGTTCCCCTAATGTAAATTCCCATTTCTGTTTCAGCTTCCCTGCTTAAATCCCTCCAACATGCAAATATCGTCACTCTTCACGACATTGTACATACAAAACTCACGCTCAATTTTGTCTTCGAGTATGTGGTATGTTTCTCAGTAATTACATTAGAAAATAAAGACCCTAATTGTCCATTTTTAATCTTAATATAAATTTTGCCTGAATAAAACAACCACTTACCTAAAGAGTAATTACATTTGGTCATAAATTACCTAAAAAACGTGGAAAACGCTCGTTTTTCTGGTACAACTAACCCTAGGGTTGACAGGGCCAGGTATCGTCGTATGTATAGACACACACGTTGAGACTTTCTCTGGACCAAAAAATCAGTTTCCAATTCTGCGCCTCCCACATGACTGCCAAGCAGGTTAATCTGTGGGGCTCTGACGTAAACGTCTGTCGTCGTGTCTCCATTGCTGTTGTCCCCAAATTTGGGAGTACCTTAATTCAATTACATAGGTGTTAGTATTTAGGAGTTAGAGTGGCGGAAGCTGAACACGTCGCCAGACGGCAGCCGCAACCATCCCAGGCCCTGGTAGCATTGTCATCGGTGGTCGTGGATGGTCCAACGCATGGTGCCCCTGTGAACCCAGTGTATTCCACGCAATGAGAACTTTGCAAAGGTTTAGTCGAACATTTGAAAACTGCAACTCATTAACATATTTTGGTTTGTATGATACGGGAAATCACATCTTTGTTGTATATTTAATTAAACGTTCTTTAGATCTTCACAATTTTCTAAGTTAAAATGTTAAGCCTATCTTTTGGTTTAGGACTCCGATTTGAGCCGGATACTGGAAAAGAATCCTATGGGCCTAAAATCGCAGAATGTACAGGTACGGTGTTGTCCACACATTCTTTTTCCTCTACAATTAGCTCTTAGTTTTGCTGACAGTACATGTGAAATTCAAACCGAACTAGCTACAATGATTTGGCCATCACTGATTTGCTGTCTTGGTTTAGGTCGAATAATTATGAAGCTAGTTGTGTACCAGTACCTTTTTAAGTAAATCTACGCGCGTAACGGTAAACAATGTCCCCTCCAGTAGGGTAAAGGATACTGTGAATCACTAAGATGCATACTACGCATTGCAAGATGTCTGAATATGAATGCATCTCCTTGAAACGCTTTTGCTATATAGTTTAATAATTAAAAGCGCTGTGTGATTGGAATCATTCCTCTCCATTTGGCGACCTAGTATGTCATAGACTTCATGTAGCATCAATGCGTTTGGCTGCATCTCAGCGCATCTCCGCACTTGATTCTACACCAAAACCAGGTGTCAGCAGCACCATCTGGTTTCCTTCTACTGATTAAAACATCCCACAGATGTAGAAATGCAGATGAAAAGACGCGCGTTGGAAGCAGCCTTCGTGTTTTCTCGAGTGCAGTCATTGGCTGGTCACCGAACGTGAAATCACGAATATGTACTTGTATTAACTTTAGTTCAACTCCGCGTTAGTTCATTGGGGTCTGCATCATTTTGTAATTTATTACTTCGTTTTAATCAATTTTGAAATGAACAGGTGTGACTGGTGTGGTTAGAGATAACCTCTTTGGGTTTTTTGATACCCAGCAATGGTCGAAACTGTTTTTAAGCCTTAGTGCTATCCCGGAACTGAGGTGTTGCTTTAACGCATCCTTTCATGGTATTTTTGACAAGTAATAAAGTGTATTAGTTGACTGATTAATTAGATTCAGGCTATTTTTTTTTCAAATTGAACGTTCTTTTAATTAGCTTGAAAGGCTAGTCATTAAAATTCCAACATTTATTACTTAGTTACTTCTTTATCAACTCCTGCGTGGCTTGGCCTACTGTCATGATCGAAGGATACTTCATCGAGACCTGAAACCCCAAAATCTCCTTGTTTCTGCCACTGGTGAACTGAAGTTGGCTGACTTTGGTCTGGCTCGAGCTAAGTCCGTACCCAGCCACACGTACAGCCACGAGGTTGTTACGCTGTGGTATCGACCACCCGACGTACTGCTCGGCTCCACAAACTACACCGCGTCGCTCGACATGTGGTTAGTGATGTGATGACAAGCTACTTGGTTTTACCCTCAAGAGGCGTCTCTGTAATTGTCGATTTACCACTTTCGAGGAACAGTCTCCGACTGGCCAAACCCGCTTTGCCCCAGATTTCATTTTCACTATTTAGTCAGCCACCCTAAGCTCCAAAATTAGATCCTAACTGCCTGTAAAATGTTTTCAGTTCCAACGACTAATATGTGCTAATAGCTACGTTAAGGCTGGGTATTATAAGACGCATTTTATTTAAGATGAGATGAAGACAAAGCCATTTTTATCACCATGCTGACTTGGTTAGCTGTTTTTAATTAATGAGGCCCCAATTACACACTTCTGCTTAGAAAGCTGGCTTTACCATTTAACTGTGCCATTAAAAATCTGATTATAGGATAGGCCGATATTATTGTCATCATCGACAAATTTCATCTAGATTTACATCCTTTTTTTACAATTTAGCTGGATTTCTGTGTGATGGAGGTGACGGCTTTGCACTTCTAAAAATTATGACTTATCATCAAACAGCAGACAGGTCAAACGTCGTTGATTGATCTGTGACCTAGTTAGTATGGCCATAATAGCAATGCTCAGTACAAGTTTTGTTGCATGAGTAAATGAATGCTTAGTCAAGTGTGTTCGTTATCAGAAATCCTTTCGTTCATTTTTCCAAGTTATTGTCTGCCTTTTCGGTGAGGTATTTCTACGAAAAAGAAAAGTTGAAGCGAATGAAATAAGTGATGATGGAAGGTACATCGTTATTTATCTCGCCGGAAGCTTCTGGTGTGGCTTAAACGGCAGCCTCTTACAGGACAAAGCATTCAGGAGACCCAGAGTTAGAGTAAAAAATCAAAGCATAACTAAAAGTAGTCATTAGAGGACCTTGATGAGGCAGGTTAAAACAGTGACATCACTTAATAAACTGGTAGGTGCCATTTTGCCTATAATGGAGCCTCCAGCGGAGTGTTTAAACTTTTAAGAGCACTGATCTTTCAGTCAAAACATCGTGATTTCTAGCGGCTGATTAACTTTTTCATTGGAGACTAATTACTAGCCAGGTAGAATCCTCTCCATTAATGTTTTAATCTCACTTCTTTCCTTGAATTGAAACGACCTCCAAAAAACAGCTTTCAAAGGAGCTTCCAGTCTGCAATTACCACCTACTTTCTTTTCCACTTGATGAACGATTTATCCACGACATCCGTTGCTGGTGAAGTGGAAACTCAAAACAGAGAAAAAGTAGGGAACAACTAGTGTACAAAAACACCGAGCCTAGAGCTAAATATTTAAGACTTCCTTTTTTGACCTCTGAAGCAACGCACGGTCTCGTTGAAATTGGAGGATGCAACAAAATGTTTTCAGCAGTCTTCGCCTTTAACAATCTTCGTTTTTTACCACAGGGGCGTTGGATGCATATTTCTGGAGATGCTGTCCGGCGACGCTATCTTTCCGGGCGTAAACGATGCTGTGGATCAATTGGATAAAATCTTCAGGGTAACAGATCTTTCCTTTATCAGTCCAGTTTCCTGAAATAGCACCTAATATATTAAAAGCAAATATAGCCTGGTTACTCTAAATTAGGCGGGAGGTTTTTAAGAACAAGTGAATTTTTAACCGAATTTGTATAGGTAACTAGCAATAATCTTGCATAGGGGATATGAGGTCTTTCAAATTGCAAGCCATCAATTGGACTGGTAAGTTTGGGGGAATCATCTTGTAAAGTGTGCCTTTACTATTCCACGTAATCCGCAAATCGGCGCGTGCTCTAAAACAGCGCCACAATAGAACTCTGCATCGTTTTTTTCGAAATTTGGAGGCAGAAAAAAGGCTTCAAATGTGACGGGACCTATCGTTTTTCTGCACGATGTCAAGAAAGTTATGGACGCCGACACTACAGTGATGGACGAACGCCCACGAGATCAAAACGTGAATGCGGTAGTCGGAGCCGCTCGTTCTTTGATTGGTCGACCACGTTTATGCCAATATTGTTGTTTTGAGCTCATAAACCTCCAAAATAGCGACCCTTATCTTGCTTGCTCGATCTTTTGGGCACATCACGATCAGGGAACATAGCCATTCTACTTGGTTGTGTTCCAGTGAGTTTACCTGCTCTCTCTGTTGTCCTCAATATTATAAGCATCATTGTTCAACTCACAGTTGTGTGGTTTTGCTAGTGCCCTAATCACTTACGCATAAACTGTTGAAACTATTTAAAATTCCATTTTTGGATTCGGGGTAAGAAGCGAGCCTGATGGTCACGTACAAGCTGTCCAGGTTTCAAAATAAGTTTCGGTCCCGGTTTTTGTTTAGCGCCTTAAGGAAATTATGATGTGCATTTTCTTAAATTTAGTCGTACGTGGTTAGCCAAGATATGATTTCTATATTTTTGCACTCTAGCTATTAGGCAGTCGTTTTCAGCCAATTAGTCAAAACTACGAGGGAATAATGTACAATTTGTACACTAAGAAGATAAGTGAATTCGGATTCCATGACAGGACTGTACAAGGCTCTGGGTGTGGCGGCCAGAAGATATCAGAACGGGCGCATTCGCGCTAACGGCCTGCGCGGTCATGTGGCAACGGCCGCAGGCGAAATCCACGAGCCCAAAAGTACACCGTTTTGGTAAAAACATGCCACGGGTGGTCTGTGGAAAGAGTAGATCACCAGCGCTGGTAATTTCTTTGCATTGCTGGCAAATTCGGAGGTGAAATTGCATCCGTTTCGATGATACGAGTGATTGCGTTGATTTTAAGTCTCCATCTGCTTCTTATTCTTTTCATCTGATGTTTATGACGAAATAGGTGACCTTACTTAATGCCTGCATCGATAGGCTAAAAGTTCATTTTGCCCTAATGCGCGCAGTGACGGGTACAAATTAGGAAATATTCTGCTATGCCAATTCCCACAGAGAAATATTATGCCTAGTGAGTACAACCGCGGTGGTTCTTCTTGTCCACTTGTCCACATTGTAGACCGAAGTCAAGCATCTGGACACAGCCGTAACCCAGCAAACACCACTTTTTCAGTTCTGAAGAGACGAAACTAAGTAGAAGTTTGAATGGAAAGTGCAAGACTTATGTACACCTTCACCAAATGGTGGCATCAGTTAGAAATTGCTACACAGTTGAATTTCATCAGCCTCCACTAGAATATTTGTAACATTTATCCACGAAGCCTACTCAACTTCGTTAATAAACAAAGTATTGCAAAAGCAACGGTTCTGGATCACTTTTGCCTTTTGTGGTAGGAGCTCGATATTGCCTTATTTTTGCGCCAAACGGACATTGTGCTTTTTTAAGACATGTCACATCGTAAGATCGGAGAATAAGCCTTGAAAACTTGTGGTGACACAATTTGTTCATGCCACAACTATCGTTTAGCCCCGAGCGTTTTTACCTGTGGTAGCCACTGTAAGTCATTCCTACCGTAACTAACCCGCTAACCAATGAGCTCACCGCGCAATGTGGCCTTGGCACACCTGTCGAATGACTCATGTACTTGAGGTACAGCGTGGGCGAAGAGGCGAAAGTGGGATGGGCTGCCGCCTCCATTGTTGACCGTCCATCAGGTGGTAGAGGAAAGGTCCGTTTCCTAAGAAACGAAATTTGAGTCAAACCAGGTTTGGTTAAGCTCTTTTTCAGTACCCTGGTAGTTATTTTGTGTACGTGATCGAACCAAACTCATTCTCAATGAATCGAAGTCTTATTTCACGCCACACTACACTTACAATAAATTCGTCAACTAGTCAATGTTTTGCTATGAACACTGCAAACTTCCCTGTTGCTAATTACACCCTTGAAACATGGCTTCAATATGAAAATGAATGATAGGAGAGACACTTTTTTAAGAACATGGATTGCCTGAAGCTATCATAGGTCATGATCAAATTGATGAAGCGTTTGAAATTTTACAGTAATGTAAAGAAGTATTAGATCAGCTGAGGTATTCTGACTGCTTCTCCTACGCCTCAAATATATATTTTTAGTTTGAAAATCCGCTTAGGAAGATAAGCACGATTTCTCTGGGACAGCACTTAGTTACAATGGAGGCCAATTAGTCTTTTTTGTTCGCAGAAATCAGAGTCATCACCTAATTTGCAGGATCATGTAATGTAAGCACAAAGCTTCCATGTCTGACATTCCACTTATGCAACAAATTCTTAGCAGGTTAAACCTACTGGTATTAGTTTAGTTGTAGAAATATAAAAGGTTAAGTTATCTATGTAATTTTTTGTTAAATGCTGCTGCAGTACATGGGAACTCCGACAGAGGAGACTTGGCCAGGCGTCTCGAAGTTGCCGAAGTACAAGAGCCTCTTGGGAAGTTCCTCACACCGTCGAAATCTCCACCACTCACACCACCAGTCGCATCACCAACGATACGCCTCCACGACGACCTCTGGAAACCGGGGTGGCAGAGGCAGCCTGTGGCACACCGGCAAACCGCTGAACCGTGTGGTTCCCCGTCTGGCCTACATCGCTCACGCGACCTCCCTCGCCTCGGCCCTGCTCAAACTCCAGCCCGACCAACGCATCACCGCACGCGCTGCAATGCGACACCCCTACTTCACGGTGTCTCTGCCTACCGCTCAGCTGGCATGCCTTCCCGACAGTGAGTCCATTTCAACAGTACTAAAATGTCGTTAATGCTGTTTCTGGGTTATCGCTTACATCCCTACCGAATTTTTGGATGGAGTAAGAAGTATCTGGAGGATACGAGTCCAGTAACATAAAATACAAATTCATCTTCCGTATCCTGATGACACTTCCTGTTTCCTAAGGTTGTGCAAATATATTGTCCCGACAAATGGTGCCGCTCATGATCGCCTACGAAGCTGGTAACAGAAAAGCCGTCTCCATTCTAAATGGATTAATTTATCATTTGTTTGATCATGATCTAACGGTATGCACAATATTTAATTTGAAGCAAATATCTCACTAAGTAGCTTAAGATTGAGGAACGTGATAGGTTAAAAAGGAAAAAAGGAATTTTGTCCATAAAATTATATTTTTTACTTTTGACACTTGGTAGAGGTCACTATCAGCCTACTTTAGAATGAACATATTTCAGGACATCCTTTTTCCAATTTTACGTACGCAAGTAAGATGTCGATTGGTACAATGAAAAATGCGGTGTTAATTGTTTAAGCGAAAAACCCGTGTCATAATTGATTTAAAAAACCCTTTCTGGAGATTTTTACTCAACAACGACCAATAATCTTGGTTTTGCCGGGTTTCCCTTTTAACCGTAGGCAATTTTTTTTACAAATACCTTCATTAGTTTGCCTTGAGGCGAGGGCCGCTGGTTATTAACATTAAGCTTTAACTTGTCTCTGCCATTGGTGTATTTGAAAAAAATATTTAAAATGCCCTTGTTGCAACCAAAGCTTTCGCGTGATTAGTTAGCACATTTTTTTGCAAATTTTTGGTTAACGTAACCCCACCTCACTAACATTTTCATTGGTCAAATCGCCTTTTGTCAGTCGAATTCTGATTTATAGGTGGTGAAACCTGAAACATGTCATTATTTTTTTTTCCAGTAAACCTTGAAATAGGTCTATCAATCGAATGTGTTGGCCGGAATGTGTTTAATTAGAGACCAGCTTTTTTGTGTTCCCGTCACCAATCAAAATGAAGTGGAGGGAAGCAAAGGTGCATGAACTCAATCCCTCAGAAACCGAGTCCATATAACGGTTGCCTATTACATAAAGTTGACTTAAATGTACCCCTTTTGTTACGCAAAAGGCATTTCACATTTTATTCACAATTAAGGCAAATATGATTGTGGTAGATTCACTCAGCTACTGCCACTGACTCGCCATTAATGGCAATTAGCAAAACTACCTGATAACCCATCTGTGCGTTGACATCCGTAGAAATCTGAAACAAAGTAGACGGTAATAAATTGACATGACAAAATCAACGCAACTGTTTTTTCCCAGCAAGACAAGCTCCTTCGATATGGCAATATCCGTCAGTTTCTATGTGACTAGAGGTCAAAAAAGCACAATTACTTCGATCGATCACATTATTTAACCTTTCATCCGGATCAGATGTTCGCTCCTTGCAAAGACACAAATGATTTTGCAAGAGTTTTTGTTATTACACATGTAAGTTATTAAGAGAATTGAGCGAATCTTTAAAGAGATGAAATTCAACATCCCGGCCACAAAGTGGCGTTTAGTTGACATCGTCCGCCGGCCACTTCCAGCCTTGTTCATAAAAATATGACCATCTTCTGGATGAAAACAATCTATTACCTAAAGGGTAATTAAATTTGGTCATAAATTACCTAAAAATGTGGAAAACGCTAGCTTTTCTAATATTAGCAACCCGGTTGTTGACAGGGCCAGGTATCGTCGTATGTATAGACACACACGTTGAGACTTTCTCTGGACCAAAAAATCAGTTTCCAATTCTGCGCCTCCCACATGACTGCCAAGCAGGTTCATCTGTGGGGCTCTGACGTAAACGTCTGTCATCGTGTCTCCATTGCTGTTGTCCCCAAATTTGGGAGTACCTTAATTCAATTACATAGGTGCTAGTACTTAGGAGTCAGTGTGGCGGAAGCTATGCATGTCGTCAGACGGCAGCCGCAAACATCCGAGGCCCTGGTAGCATTGTCGTCGGTGATCGTGGATGGTCCAGCGCAAGGTGCCCCTGTGAACCCAGTGTATTCCACGCACCTCCTGCGAATTCGATGATCCATGCACAGCAATCTTGACATAGTCAAGGACTGCAGCGTGTTTATACGTTTTGTTGGGATGTTACCATAAAACGAGAAAATTCGTCAATTTTTCACCTGACTTAGAGTTATCGCAAAACGAGGTCTGATTTGATTTATTTAGTGATAAATCAACATAGTTGGGAGTTAAACACTCATAAACATGACCGAAATCCCAAACGTCTTATTAATGGTTGTGCATCCTCCGTCCTGTTAAATTTACTGAGTTTCCTTTTGTAAAAATATTGTTATACAACATTAACGTAATGGCTGAAATAATTACTTGAACATTTGTTGTTCTCGGGCCTACGTTAAATTACTGCCAGTGTTGACGAAGGCAGAAGTGTTGGCCTTGCGAATGTCTTGCTTGTGTCCAAAAACAGCACCACTTTTTGACCAGTTGGAGGGCTGTTTGCCACGCATTTACTGCCCACACCTTCTCTCAACTTCTGTCGACACTCTACGATTTTCCTTAGCTCGCTGCTGTGTGAATATAAACGGTTTAGAAATTTATTTTACTACTGACTAAACAAGACCGAAGGTTATGCTAATTTCTCGAAAACATTCTCTAAGGAATTTTGACAATTTGACTTAGATTTTAGCAGACAATGTAAACAGGTGGCTCTTCGTTTGATCATCTGTCCGACGAGTCCTTTTGATGAGGTAAATTCTTCCACAGCAAAGAACACACTGAGGAGCCCACTTGATTCGTACTTTAATCTAGCCTAAGGGAATTCGGTCTCTACCTTGACTGCTTTTTATCAGCTGAAAAGTTTACGTATTCTTAAGTGTTACATTTTTGTTGGATGCTTCTTAAAAATTAGCCTTCTTTTTGTTGTTGCGTTAGTTTAACATCAGCGTCTCTACGCCAAGTATAAATAACCCTTACTTACTTCCCTTGATAAGACAATCATAATATTTCAAACAAAACCAATTTTCCGGAAACTACTAATTTTTAAAGACCTGAAACCTGTCTTCTGTAGTCCTGGATGGTTCCTTAAAGTTTGTAAGAGATACTTGCATTTCTCTCAAAGGTCCCGTCGAAGTAATCACGTTAGAACACGCAGTCAAACGGTCGCAGCCGCCGAATAAGCACGATGCTCATCTCGTTAACATGACGAGTCCGCCAAAAATTCAAGCGAACTGTGGTTCACTCTTTATCGTTAAATAACTCATGCAAAAAATAACAACGCGTTGTTCTCCTAGACGAAGATCCAACTCTTTTTTAAATGCTTTTTTTCTTTCAAGTGCCGTTTTTTGATAAAAGTTAAGAGCGGACATTGCAAACCCTAGATTAACGAGACGTCACGGTACGTGTACTTTGACAATAAAAGACGCGACGCTGGGTTAAGACCTCTTGCGCTCAACCGATCGCCAAAAGGCTCAGTGCAATGAAGACTTTACTGTGCTGTTATCAATTAGCACGGGCTGTTCGAATCAGCATTCACTTCCGTTCCACAATGTTCGATCTTAGCGTCCGTTTCTCCCGCGTTTTAGTTTTAAGCGTTCCACTTCTGAGCGCCACGAGAACAACAGCAGTGGATTTTATTGAGATATAACCGAATGAGAGTCAAACCGCGTTTAATTTTTACGATGCACGGGAGAGTAATGTAATCTTGGTCATCGTTGTCGACTCATAAAAAAGGCACCTGCGCCTGCAACAGCTCTTCTTCATTAAAACCTCATTACTTGACGACTTATTTTGCTGACATCCCGCACCTCTCGTCGCGCAAGTCGCTCAGACACAGCCAAGTATAAAACAAGCATCCATACACCCACTCAATCGCCTTTATGTCAGTTGGAGGCTACTGAACGTGCACCAAGCCAATACCTTGTAATATTAGTAGAAACGAAGAACTGCAACTTCTAGTTTATGCACAAAACAGATTTTCTTTGACGAACTGCGGCACATACTTGACTTTTTGGGTCCAAGTGCTTGTTAAACGCTTCCTTCTTGATTTTGTAACCCATTGAAAAAGGAGAGGACAGAGTAGGCAATACTCCTTTGCTTAGCGTTTTCATTTGGTAGCTTCTAAATCGTTCGTCCATTATCGCCGTAATCATTCAACAAACCTCATTCTACACCAATAGTATTTTTTTTGCAAATTGAGGCTTCAAGCCATTTGTTGTAGGCCTGTTTTTTGAAAGACCAAGCACTTTTTAAATTCCATGTTTTCTACCATAAATTGGATTGACAGTGCCTGAAAAGTGCCCATTTGTGAGTTTTTTTAAGGAAACCACAGGGCATTCTAAAACAAGTAGCCTAGCAAAACCGAGACTGTAATGTACTATAATTGGGTCAAAAATTCAAAAAGAAATGTTAACAACTTCAGAAAACGAATCCTTCGAAGTCACCTTAAGTTTAGTTGTCAAGAAAACCTCATTTTCACTTCATTAGTTGTTTCGATTCCACCAGTGATGCACCCAGACTGTTATCGCCTGGGTAGTTGCATGCAGATGGAAGAACAAGAAGAAGGTACGCTTGATTTCCCCTTCGGAGCGAACGGTTGTGTTAAGTAAGTTGAATGCATTAGCATTCATCGCTACACAAGCAACAGGATTCTCGGTGTTCCATTTTGGAGAGGCTGGATTTGAAATGCACCCTACTGTTTTCGGTTTCGGGCCAAAGGCCTTTTGTCTTCCAGTTTAAAGGCATCACATATCAAAGGGTAGAGCTCATGGACATTACTACTAAGAGTAAAAGCAGCAGAGTCGACATATTTTTTTTATTACCATAGCTGAATTTCTAAATCCGTGCTTGATTTTCTGTAGGGCAATCTTTTGCGGTTGAAACTGCTTTTAAAAGCTTTTCTGTGTGCTATTTTTAAATTAACAATAATTTAAGTTGAGCTAAGATGAGAAAGTCTAGTCGGTTAATTGAAAATCCCACCCACTTCGTAAGAGCTTGCGGAGAATGTGAGTTGCCTATCTACCGCCACTCGTTCCCACCATCAACTCGAATAAAAAAATCCTTTTTCCACGGAAGAGCTCTTTACAGCTGTCCTGTTTTTGCTACTTTGAATATAACTAGTAGCATTAATTATGAAAACTAAACATTTGGAACTGCGTTCACGGCTTTGGTTTAAATTTGCGGGCATTATAAATACCGTTTTGTTTTTAAACAATGTCTCAACCCACCATTATTAATAATACTAGAAAGTTTTTGGTCAAGTGTATGCACCGTTTATGTAGTCATGAAAGTGTTCTAGTCTGCCTGTTTAACTGGTATACTAAACATTTCGTTATGATTTTTCCTTTTAGCAATGTCTATCTTTAGTATTGCTGGTCTAAGAATGACCTCTGAAGACTCTCCTCGTTGTTCCAGTCGTCACCCTGGGAAACCCCAAAGACATCTTTCTTACAAAGACAGCAATAACTTGACAAGCAATAGCTCCACCACCTCGGATAGCACCGCCCCTTCTCCAGTCGACCACCAGACCACCTCCTTGGACGAAGCTGGGACGAAGAAAGACCACCCACCGGCGCGGTGTCCAAGTCCGCCGCCTCGGACCCCCCCACCTCCTGCCTGGCCCCCTTATCCTCTTTTCACCCACCTGCAACAACAACACCAGCAGCAGCAGAAGCACGCTCAGGGTAACCCCGTGACACGACCACCTCTCTACCCAGTCTATTGTTTGCCAGCCTACATGACGCCACCGTCAACCTCGCAGACCACCACTGGGTCGTCTACGCAATCCTCTGCATTTATTTCCGTCCCTCTGCGACCGGTGATGGCACCCTGGGTGCCGGCCTACACGATGCAACCAACAGCAACCTCCTCAGATACTTCCACGGTTGAATCCCTTAGAGGCGACCAGAAGCCTGTGCCCTTTGGATTCCCCCCACTGTCGTCACCTGACATTATTTGGATGGTGCCATGGGTTGTGAGTTTGCAGTAGCGAAATGTTTTGATGTTTAAACTATTACGGCTGCAGAACGATACCCGTAGTGTTGTGCCGTTTTTACAGAGTCCAGCTGATTGGGTTCATAATGAGCCAACATTTTTGGTTGGGCCACCTCAACCCACCACGGTGTTCGATCATTTCACCCAGCCCCAGTTTCCATCTAAAGTATGCTAAATTAACTAAGTGCTCCCATTACGCACTCCAGATGTTCAGCTATTGCTATTCCTTATTTCTTCACACTCCCCCTCTTAAAATATGTTTCGCAACGGTTTTCTAGTAATTCTTTTAAGCATCAAATAACTGTTTACATAAGTTATCGAGTGTTAAGAGGCCGTGCTAGAGGCCTTGTTTTTATGATTAGTTAAGTATTTACAATGAGCTTCAACTTAGCTGAAAAGAATGGCTGATGGTTGTGATCACACTGTCGTAGGCACCGGCATGTGGTTTTGATCCACGCTGGGGTCACTGCTTTGAATTTGGCCCGGCTACTCTACACCGCTACCCGCGGTGGTCAAGATGGCGTGAGACGGTGGAGACAACCGTCTACAAGCCTAATGGCTCAACCTAGTCGTGGCTTTCGTGCCTGGGGTTGTTGATCAACACAGTATGCGTGCGCCTAGTGCTTGAACGGTCAGATGACTGGAACGAGGAGGTACATGCACAGGGGTGGATAAGCAGACGATTGTGCGAGATCTGTAGAGACGTTGTGGAGTAAAAAAGGTGAACGCCCACTTTAGATAGAATTATATTCATCTAAATCGATATTACGAGTGGATATTTGACGTGTTTTCGTTTGGGATGGGGAATTTGACCAGTCTTGAATTGATTCCTCGCCGTTTTAGGCTTATTAGATAATACTTTCCTGTTTACCTCGTAGAATTAACGTATTTTACGCGTGAGTCAAACAGTTAGCTATATGGCCTCCAATTACCCAATAATTCCCATTAGGGTTAAATTTTTAATCTGCTAAAGTGCATGATTGCAGAAGAAGGTTGATTATTCAAATGTAACTGCCTACTTCTGCTTCAGCCTCAGTCGTTCTACCCGCCCGGGTACACGGTGATGCCCCCATCAGTTCCCGCATATCCGCGTCACTCTGGACCAGCTCAGAAGTCAGTCGCTCTGCAGACAAGCGAGTCAGTTAGTGAGGATTCCCAGACAATCTACACTTCTGCCGATGACGGGACAAACGCCACGCGGGACAGCCTAATTCAGGCCAATAGCACCAAGGCCGCTTTACTTCCTTCCCTCGATACTGTCTCAGGTACAGGGGACTCAATAGCCGACATCACCTTCAGTTTCGCCTCTCAGCACGCACAGCCGCACGGGATGTTTCTGAGCAACCACTTCGGACCGGACAAAATACTGCACGGGACTGGAGATGTCGGCATCTGCAGAAGCTCCAGTTTCCACACGGGCGACCGACTCCGATTTGAGTCATCGTCATCCGTTTTGCTGCGGATTCCAAGGTCGCAAGCCTTCTACCCTGAGACATACTGCTGTTCTCGTGGGAATGAGGCTGGCCAGGGCTTTTCATTCAACCAACCAACATGAAATCGTGTATTCTGTGTGATCTAAAACGAGTCTCATTGTATTTCGACAACAGCGGCAAAGTACTCAATTATGTTATTTATGTACATCATAACAATGTACTTTACTGAGATCTTAATGCTCTCATTTTTGTTTCTCCATAGGGGGTTTTAGAGACATCGCATGATCTTAGGATTTTCTTGCTGCGAGTTAAAAAACCCAAAAGGGTGGAGGGTCTTTCCAAATAAAAGTGACTGCTTTCGTCGATTCTGTGATCAATTTGGTCATGTCGCATCAAACACTAACTCTCTACATAGAAAAAACGAAAGGCGATTCCACATCACCGAAGTGCTAAACAGTGTAAACCAATTTCACCATGACATTTCATCTTCTGAATTCTAATTTAAACCAGGAAATTCTTCCGTTGGGAATAGAAGCCACATTGACAACTTTTGGATATCTACTCGTAGTACCGTTTACCCATAGGTTCCTGTGATGTCGATGCTACTGTACTGATAAACCTACTTTACCGTGACCCCCAATTGTTTCAGACTAACTGGTTTAATGACTTGACGCACAAGGGCAGCGTTGTCATTGTGCCTAAAGTGCTGTATGGGAAAGTGTTTTTTTAAGAGTCGAGTGAAGTGGAGGACTCGTGGAATGCGGTGGAATCGGTCCGAATAGCCACACTTCCAAGGATACCGAGGATCCACAGCAGCGAGGCGCAGATGAAAGCCTAGTAAGGTGACACATGGTTTTCTAAGGTGAAGCACCGGCATTGCCTAACTACGATTCCAGTGTCCCTAAAAACCCCATAGTTTTCGAAGGGAGAACTAGCTCAATCCTGACACCGAGCATTTTGTAGCCGGTTCAGCATACCAAGTTTCACTAAGGTGGAATATTGTGTTGGCGAGATTTATTCATGTCCTCGTGAAACATGAACTGTATGATAACGTCAAGTACTTATCTCCAGCGATGGAATTGACACAAAACAGTCCTGATATGTTCTCAGAAATGCGAGCAAAGATAACAGACTATTGAGGCCAGTCATTCGAAGTTAGTGTTCGCAAACACCTCACGAAGGGAAAGCGAACACATTAAATTTGGTGGGGCCTGAATGAGAGAAAGTGGTTTCGGGGCTAATAGTGGAATTTTAAAGCATAAAGGAAACGAGTCTCGCAGACAACAAAACACGTTTTACCTCGTCCCACACTTTGAACCGTTTCCACAACAAATCTGAAAGCTAAATATGCCAATTACAGTGGTAAGGAATTGAAAAGCACATAGCTTTGCAAGCAAAAGTGGGATGTGTTGAAAAAAAAGCACGATAATAAGAGAAGCGTAAAAGAAGTTCTGTAATTCGGCAAGACTATGGTCAGACCACGTGATTTCGCGCGACGACACAATAGAAGTGGACGCGGATCAGAGTTGCCGCATCATTTCCCTCGAAGCATCTCCTGGAGAACACTGTGAGAAAACTCCGTGGTGGTGCCGCAGCCGCCAAGGTCGGGTGTGAGGCAGTGGCCCGTCCTGATGACGCGAAAGAGAGCCGCCTCGAGGCGATTAGCATAGTGGTCCAAATTGATGTGTCGCAGAAGGCTTGAGGCGCACAGCAGAAGTGCAGTTGGGTTGGCGACGTTTCGACCGGTGGATTGTGAAAAGGTGTGCTTCGCTCCGGGCTCAAAAATTGCTACCTAAATGAGAGTTAGTTGCATCTATAAATAACTGTAACATGTAATGCAATGTCTTCAAAAGTTTTGTAGAAATGCCTCACTGAAAAGAGTATTCAAAGGTCGCTTGGCCTGCATACAGAAAAGAAACAAGAGACTCTGATTGAATCAAGGATTAATGAGTCAAATAACTGTGTATTTGCGTTACGAATCTTAATAATGTGCTGATAATTAGCATACGGGCACCAAAATTGGAGCAAATAAAAAAACTCTGGTGAGAATTTAGGTAAGTATGACTTACATCGTGACTGTACAGGACACTGGGCACGAGGCCCGCCCCACCAACGATGCCAGAAGACACGTTTTCAACAATTGCCCCGTACAAATTTGGCATGACCATCACATCGAACTGTGCTGGACGGCTGACCAACTGCATACAGCAATTATCAACAATCATAGACTCAAATTCAATGCTTGGGTAAAGCTTTGCAACATTACTGCACGTTTCCAGGAAAAGGCCGTCAGCAATTTTCCTGAAACGTAAAAAGTCACATTCATATGGACCCTCCTTCAAGCAGAATTTCAAGCAATTTAGTTAATAAAACAGCCTACTGATAATCTTTCAGTAGAACATAGATTAAATTACAGAAATGAAGTTTGAAGTTAGAGAATTGGACGAACATGAAGGTAACAAAACTTAAAATAATCCATTTACTAGAGATTTTCATCACAACGTAGCGCTGTAAATTTCATACTTATTCGACAAATAAATTGATGATCTTGTGGTGAACTTATATGGTTTGTACATAATGTACATTTTCAACACCATGAATGAAAAGCACTACATGAATTAACACATTACCAAATTTTAAGTTAGACCCCTAAATCCACATTTTTGACTGATTTTCAGTTGTACGCGCCTCGGGAACATGTAACAGGGGGCCAATTAGCAGGGGATGATAGGGGACGTATTCACTGGGTGCGCAAAAGACATGTCGATCGACCCTGATAAACGCATATTCTGGAGTAGATGGATACAATGCGTATTTGAATAAAAACTGTACAATGCGATACAAACAGCCAAAACTTACATTATGTTGGCTTTGTGAACAGCTGTTACCTTTTTGCGTCCGTGCCTCTGAGCATAGTCGAAGGCAAATTTAGCGATCCTTTCCGAATTGCGCCGTGTGATGATCTTAAGCGACTCCACAACACCAGGGATGGATTGGTGCTCCAAGGCAGAGTACTCGCCCTCCAACATCTCACGGACAACAAGGAAGTCTAGGTCATTGTGGCGGGTTCTGACACCGTCCAGACTGCGAATCTGCGCAACACTCGCGTAAAGATCCAAAGCACGCCTACATGAGTAGTGATGCATGCTCAGTTTGGAATATTCAATCATAGTTTAATTTTATTTGAGATGAGGACTGATGTGTAAACATGAAACTTCCGATAATTATGTGGGCTGACTAGCACTGGGAATGAAATTAAATTCAAGATTAACTTAAAAAAGGCGGCTTTACGAATTGGTACCCGAATCACCACACTAAGGTCATGGTTACTAGAATTTATTCCAATTGGCGTACTCTCTAGAAATACACAATTAAAACTATGGTCCTGGAAAAATAATTACCCTGAATAGTCAAATTCTTTCATTGAAAAGTAAAACTTTCGATAGTTTTATCATAACTAGGACCCATATGCAAGTGATAAATTTATGTGGTCACGTAACCACTTAAGTAATTCTACCTAAGTACCAACATAAAACGACACAACTACCCAAAAAATCCAAGTAAAAAATTTATCAGTCGACATTTTTAAACGCAAAGTTTATACAAACCAAGAGTAGTGAGCACAAATCTCATAGTGAAAACCCTTGGAAATTGATTCTAACAGAGAAGAATGCATTTACCTAAGCCTAATCGACAGTGCCTCTGGAATCGCTGATCCCATAGATGCTTTAATAACCCCTTTCAGGCACACTTTGTTACGACTAACAGATTCCACAACGTGATCCAGTGTTTCGGTTTCGCGGCCTGGTAATTCACTAGAGTGGCATATAAAAATAACAATATTAAACCTCAATGGAATTTCTTCGAAGACTACGGGAATGCCGGCCTCCCGGAAAATATACTTCACGGACATAAAGATTTCTGGGAAAACGCCGTCGCCAGGAATGAGAGTAACTGTTTTCGTAGACGGAATCGACGCAACATTCCTAACCTGTTGAAAAAATTAATGCGCAACGAGTGTACTAACTTGATGTCGTACTGATGAACGTAGAAGGGAGTGGAATAATTTGCACTAAAATTGTAAAGTCATCAAAGTACTCTGTTTGAATACTCACATATTTTGTTGCAAAATTTGCCATTGTATATGTCTAAAATAATATTCACTAAATTTAATGGTGCAAAGGGTGAACCAAAAGTCTAACCATTAAATATCACCGTTCACACTTTGTTTATTGCAAGAGCATACCACCATTCAGAAACACAACACAAATTACCAGAAAAACCTAAACAAATATATTTTTCTTAACGCTTGATTATGGTGATAAGGTCCCACATTACAGAGACTAGGGTTAATTTCAACCAACTGTGGACACCAGGGGCAAAATACCCGAAAGTACGCGCGAAGTGGCGGCAATACTCGTAGGAAATTAAAACATAGCTCGAGGACACACTTTATGAAAATTTTTCGTTTAAAATGCTTATTAGAGGTTAAATGTAATTCATTGAACTAAATTAAGCTCTACTTATGGCACGACATGTAGATCGATTTCTGTAGAACTACCATTAGCATATAAATTAAATGAAAACTACATGCACAATCGGAGTTCTAAGTCCACATCAAAGTTTCTTTTGTGGTTGCTGGCATAAAGCGTAATTAATTTATATTGTAAGTCTATGAAGTAAGATCCTTATTTAATTTCTAAGGTAAAATGCTTAATGGTGAAATACTAAATCCATAAGTATCTGTAGAATTCTAGCAACTCCACGACCATTAAAGTTTATCTTACCACTGAAAAAAAAGTAAGCGTAGCAAAAATTTGGGGTATTTGTACGCATTTTTAATCGCATCAATTTTTGATTTCGGCTGCAAAAATCGTTCATGTTTAGTCGCTTTCATTACGTTATTTTTTTTTAAAATTTCGTTTCATATACCATTGCAAGTTAGAAAATCTTTGTTCCGTGTTAATTCACGTGATAAAAACATGCTAAATGTATAATTTTTTCGAGTTAGGTATGCAATGACTCTGACCTAGGACGATGAAATTTTTTTATCTGTTCTATTTGGTACCATAAGTAAAGTTGTGGGAGTGATCTTCTGATGTGAAAAACTACAGAATTGAATGTTCGTAGCATTGGCAACTTGGCATTAATACATTTTCACTAACCACCAACAGATCCACACCATGGTTGATATCTTGAAAGCAGACCGTGTTAAACGTCATGGCTGGTCTTATGACATTCCAAAGAATGATAAACAAATCATTATTTGCATAAAAACAACACTTAAAGGTCGAACAAAAACACGCTAATGTGGAAACCCATGAAACTTCGTGAATCTGTTCAATAAATTCAAAATTAAACTCACTGAGTGCATCTGAAGAGTAGAACAATAAAGCCAGATAAAAATTACACGATAAATATAATGAAAAAAACCGACTTACTTCTATTAACTCCAACGCATAGATAATGCTTAAATTCTTTCAATAAATAAGAAAAATAATAGATTAAATAAGATAAATTTGAGTGTGTGGGTGGAAATGGGGTTGTATTTTGAAAATCATTTATCTCCTCCACAATAAATCGCCCTTTAATGTTAAAATTAGAAAAAACCCGCTAGTGACTAGATCAAGTACGTCTGAGCTTCAGAAAGCGTAGCAAGTGCCGTGAAAGCAATGATTAGTTAAATTTTATTGTTCGAGCTCCTGTCTGTGTATGGAGTGTAACAGTCATCGACCACATTCAAGAGGTAGCTTAAAAAACCAACTGGTGTATGTTGCTAAATTGCCTTAAATACCCACACCTCCGAATGAGTTTATCTGGGAAAAATGTTCTGGTGTCACATTTTCGGCTTGTACACACTGCCAATTTTCAGCAATTTTAGTGTTGCCAATCAATTGATTTGCTCGTATGTTTCGTTGTTACATTTTGTCGCACATTCAATCTAAATGTGCGTACACTTCCATGTAACCTGACACAGTAAAGCAAATAATCAATCACCTCCACATGTTCGGGGTATATTTATTGACGTTCTTTCTGTTCAAAGGCCTATATTCCAAGCTCGTCTGAAATTTGATCCGCCGATGTTTACTGCTTTCTATACCAGTTGTCTATCAAACTAACGGATGCACGTTAAAATATTCTTGTTCTAGATTACTTTTATTTATTTTTACTATTCCAACCGACTCGATTTTAATAGGTACTTCACTTCACTTTGGTGGATTGATAGTGATAAGACAAACCAAGGTTGATTGAAACAAAGCTCTTAGTATAACGTCAAATTTTAACTTTTGCTTTTGACCGTTTTTTTAGATTGAACTAGCCTTGAACTGAGCAAGTCATAGAGCCACAAGACTATGATTCCGTTTATTCTGTTACAAGCCTCTGCCCATTTGCAAATTGTCTTCTTAATTTGCTGAGTATTTTTACGATTTCGATGGATTATGGAAAAGGGTAAAGTTAAGGTTATATATATTAAGTTAGTTCAAATAATCCCTTAGCAAAGAAAATTTTTATTATCTTTTTACTGTGTGCTTCAATTTGTTAAATCCCCTAAAGACACCGAATAAAATTTTGCAAATTCATGGTAAGTTAACTACGTCAATGTCTTTATTAATACTTTTTTTCAATACGAGCTTTTATAATCGTCACCGACAAATGACCATTGTTTTAACCCAGATTACAGGAGTCCTATGAATTCTTTGAAGTCCATGAACCAGAGACAAACTTTTCGAGAGCACTATTGGCATCGCTTGCGACCATACATCGTACCTAAAAAGCAACGAAAATTGTTTTGAATTGCTTCATTAATTAATTTACATGAGGAGCCTTAAAGGCTTCTGCTAAGAATAAAAAATTGGCTATTTGACTATGTAATTTTACCCTCCCAATTGCTGTTATTGATTTTTTTGCAAACGACCTAGTGGAAATAATGTTTTCAAAATAATAGGAAGGGAGTTTCGCAAAAAATAAAAACTTGCATTTGTGAGGTCAACTGCCTTTATTTTAGCCACATTTGACAAAGTAGCAGTTACGATTCTATAATCGAAACTTAACTCTGTGATGTAAATGAAATTACATACAATGAAAACTGAAAAGACTTTTGACTGGTCATGGCAAAGAGAAGGCGGGACAAATGAGCCAAAAGTTAAATATGCAAAATTGGCTCCGGTCTCGTATTGCTTGACTACTCACTGTCTAAGTAATACAAAGTAGGGTCCGTTTTAATGGGTGGCCTTATATTAAAGAAATCTATCCTGCGCAGTAAATTCACTGTTTGAGAGAACTGTATTCATGCTTTTTCCTCGTTAAATATTCTTAACTGGATGAATACATAAATTCTAGCACGTTGGTAGACATAGAGGAAGTAGTGAAACCTAGCAAAAGGTCGGTCCTCTACAATTTCCTGGTATTAGCCCGTTTTGTATTTATATCATTGTCTACATTTCGACAAATTTCAACCAGACAATAAAAGCGTTTACATTTTGATTATTTTAAGATGTAGCTTTGAATCTGACAAAAAAGTTGCTAGAATTAGTGGACAATTTGCTTAAGACTTTCCTGGTGAAACTACGACAAAAAAACATTCGGTAAACAAACAGCTTGTTTTAGTTTAAAACCGCGCGTAAGTCATCACTAATTTTGTCACTGGTAAACTGCGTCATGAGAATGATCACCTACTTTTAGATGCCGTGTATTCATGCACACCTCTTCCCTCATTCAATTCGAGAAGAGGAGTGTGGGATAACGCCCATGCTCCATTTCGAATAGACAACATTAAAAACAAGCATAGCCTCTCCCTCTCTTAAAGATTGGCTATCACTTCGGGTTTGTGGTTTGGGTGTGGCCTGTGTTCGTTTAGCCTTGGTTGAAACCATTTCAAAGTGGTTTCCTTATTGAATACACGGTGTGGCCTTTTGCAGTTGGGGATGACCGAATCTCTGGCAAGTGACGGGAGTGAACAACGAATGCGGGAAAGGGTAAGTGCAATAGTTCTTCGATTTCTACCACCTCCATGCTAGGAAAGCGGAACGTAGTGTTGATTGCAGGGCCATGTTTTACTTTCTGGAGCTACAAGTAGTAAAGGTTAATGGATATGCATGCAATCGCAACTTTGCCTTTCAGTTTTTAGACAAATCTTGTACTCGCGAGTTATACTTATGCGAGAAAAAAACCTCATCCAAAAGTTGTGCATTATCGACAGTCCCAATTCGTACATCTCATCCATTAAAAGAAGGCCAAAAGAGTATTAAAAAATATAAACTGTGTGACGAAACACAAATGTCTGTTTTATTGCATTACCCATAATCTACACAAGTACAAGTTTTAGAGCACAACGACAGCACAATGCGTTATTAACTAAATATACATAGTTATTTGCTCAGTGACGATTTAAACTTTACATTGCAGACTTTTATGTGTGTGAAACGCCTTACCATTAGACATTGAAATCACGAAATCTTACCACGCGTAAAAGTATACAATGTTTTCGGGATGTGTTGCAGGAATGCTGTCCGTGTCGTTGCTTTGGTGGTCGCCGGAAGACAATGCCTCAACGAAGAGAAGACAATGATTTAATACTAAAATTCACGAAGCCTCAAGCGTCGACTGGAGAAGAGAGTTCAAGTGACCAGGAATCACAGTCAACGGTCACGCCACAGCCGCCTTGTTACAAAAGGATAAAAAAGCAAGTAAAATAATTCGTTCGCTTTGTCGCAAATTAAAGGTCGTAAGTCTAATGAAGTTTGGATTACAAATATGATCGGTGACTTATGCATGCACATCTCACCAAACACACTTGTCGAGTAAATGATCAGCAACTGGTCCAGACATGGCCCAGCACTTGATTTTTCTTCTCGCAAATGTTCTGCTGCATTGGGACAATAGAGGAGTGGTTACAGGGCCAATTTAGCACAAAAAAAACTAAAACACAGCCAACATTCTGAACCACGTCCACCTTTGTCAGGGGGAGTAGATGGGGCTCTTAATTTAAAAATGGTGAGATGTTGGGGCGAGAGAGTCCGACCGTTCATGGTAGTGAAGAACTTTTCAAAGCTGATTTTCCAGTTTAGTCGGTCAAAGGTTTTAGGATTTGGTAATTGACGTTGTCATTTTACAGGTTCACATTTTTCTTTTGCACTAAACCTCTCTCTTTTTATCCTCAACTCCAATGGAACATCATATTTATTCGATTGGATACCAAAGCGCTTTTCATGTGGAAGGCGAACGATGGGTAATAAACTGCCTGAAAATGTGAATTTGTTCGCCTTCCCCAGGTGCTGAATTGATCATCTTGGAATCTTTGGTGGCTATTCTGATTCATCGGAAAAAAAGCTGCTTTAATGACTATTGTCGGTCACAAGGCATTTGATGTGGCTCGTATTCGTCAATTCATTCCAAAGAATAATAAAGCCATTTTTTCCAGCTGGGCTGAAACCTTCATAATCGACACATCCTCGATTCTGTACTATCGTTGGCTCGGCTTGATATCGCTCACCGTCATCTACAACTGCATCATCCTTCCTATGCGCACCGCCTTTACGCAATTCCACGAGCTCAGTCCAGCTGGATGGATGTTCTTGGATTACTGCATCGACGCTATCTACCTCGCCGACATGTGGGTCGGATGCAGAACAGGTGACTCATTATTATGGCATTAAGTATTGGGTGGAAGGATCAAATAATTTTCCTGCTAATTCCCTACATTCATGGTCAAAAATGAGCATTCACGTTGGTAAACTGAGCCACTCTTTTGAGGACTTGCTAATTAGGGGCTTAGTGGGAAAGCGGAATAATGTATTAAACCGAGGAAGTATAAATTTTTATCCAGTCACGCAGCATAACCATCAGGACCAGAACCCGATATTAAGCTCAATTTTAGGCAAAATTTCTTCGCAGTATAGTTAGCAATGAGTTATCTACTGGCTTTGACAAGGTCTTATGGGATTCTTTCCCCGTACAAACCTAGTCTCGTGCATAAACCATGTAGAAAATGGCTCTCACATTGGCAAGCGTGTGAAAATTCCAACGCCAAGTCTCTTATTATTATTTGTGGAAAAACTGTCATCATTTTAGACGCAATGTATCGTTTGAAGTGTTAAAACGCAGCAAAAGAGCTCATTGGGACACAGAGACATCTGCAAAGGCGCTGCTGTACTCAAAGGAAAGTGCGTCAAAATTTGCGATGTCACTTTCCTATGAAAAACCTTAATTTGCCAAAATTTGGCATGGTTTTCCCAGTCTGTAATGAGATTATCATGGAGAACAAAATATGTCCCTATCCATATTTCCTGGGAACCTTAAAATTAAGTAAGTGATAATCCGACGGTAAGCATCACACACCCCGGTACTGCCGATGGAAACTATTCCACCAAAAGTCTCTACGGTCAGTGTTTTCCTTATTTTACCTGGAATTTCATCCCAAAACCATCAATTAGCGGTTTTATTTTTAAAAGCACGACTTGGAAATAAAATCGTTAAAGTATGAAATTAAATTTTTTAAGGTTATCTCGAGGAGGGCCTAGTGGTGACCGACGTCGTTAAACTTCGAAACGCCTACATCAAGAAGACTGACTGCCTCCTGGACGTGTTTGCCATCCTCCCCACAGACCTGCTCTACATCTCCCAGGCCTTCACCCACTACGCTGCCTGGCTGCGGCTGAATCGCCTCCTGAAGGTGTACAAGGTGTTTGAATTTAACGCGAGAACCGAAACACGCGCCACCTTCCCAAATGTCTTTCGAGTGACTACACTCACAGGAAATATCCTCATTCTCATTCACTTTAACGCTTGTATATTCTTTGAGATCAGCAAGCAAACAGGTGAGGATGTGTTCAAAGTGATAGCTGCTTTTCTTGTGGAAGCACCTCAAAAGGGTTTAATTATTCTGTGAGGAAGTCCGTTCTCACTAAAACCAAAGCTACAGCATGTAAATAGAATCAAAGGTAGTGCATAACGTAGAATTAAATCAAGCAACCCGAGAATGAATTTGATGCATTAGCCAAAACAGGACCAACATCATAAACCTCCCTTTTACACTAATCTTGCAGTGTATAACACCAAGTCTGCGTTCAGTTTGCGGTTATCCCAATACAAGACATTGAAATTCCCACTCTGGGTTCGTTCTTGATATTTGGTAGCGACCCGTCCGCATACTTCAAAGCAGCCATAATTCAGACCAAGTATGCCAATATTTTTTTAGATTTCTCGAGCAGGTAATGCTTGTTTTTTCTATTCACAGGACTTTGCGAGAACTCATTTGTTTATCCGCCTCGCGAGACAGACGACATTACAGACGAACCTTGTAATCTAACTGCACGTTGGCAAACCATCTTCTCCCAATACACCTACAGTTTTTATTGGTCCACGCTCATTCTAACGACAATTGGCGAGACCCCAAAACCGGTCAGAGATGGGGAATACGTCTTTATCACCATAGACTTCCTTGCGGGGGTGCTCATCTTCGCCACGGTTGTCGGCAACGTCGGCGCTATGATAAGCAACATGAATGCCCAGAAGACGGCGTTTCAGGCACAGATGGACAGTGTCAAGCGGTACGACCTTGATAGTGCCTTGGTTTTGATCTTTCAATAAAGAATTAAGATCTCTAGTAAAATGATAAACGAAAAATGTCAAGCACAACCGATGACGCCAATGAGAGTAATACGAAGTATTGGGCCATCAAGTGACGAACACCCATTTCCTGACTTTGCCTACAGTAACCATTTTACAAGTAATAAATTGTTTTCTTGCAAAATGTTTAAGTGAATTAATGTATAGGCCAGGAACCCACTATGTAATCAACCAATAAGGGAAAAAGACATCTATTGGGAGACAAACTGAAGGCACTTCTGTTACGTTTGCCCGTAACCATGAGAAATCCACTCAGATAAACGGCACCAGATCCCTTGTCTGATGTTAGAACCGACCTTCTCACGTTCAGACAGAGAGCTCTAACCGTCTCAGCCGGAAGGCGAGGATCCCCAACGATTTCTTGTAGTAAATTGTCATTTAACGACTAGAGTTATCCTGTGAAAATTAGCAACTGCTTGTTTTACTTATTCAATGATACCTGAGCTCATAACAAAAAGGCAGTGGTGTACGCGGTGTTACCGTATCTTCGACGCCATGGTGATGTGGAATGTAGTCATCGCCTTATAGCACGGCTAATTTGGTGTTTTCAGCTACATGGAGTACCGGAAGGTGAGTAAGAGCCTTGAACAGAGGGTGATTCAGTGGTTCGACTACCTCTGGTCCAACAAGCAATCCCTCGAGGAGGAGAACGTCCTCGCCATTCTGCCGGACAAACTAAAGGCTGAAATCGCCATTCACGTTCACTACGACACTCTCCAACGTGTCAAGATATTTCAGGTGATAAACGCAGTGCACCTGTCAATCACCAATCAGCAGCATTATTTTAGCTTGTACACGTTTGAATGCTTGGCTTAGAGGGAAGATGCTAGCCTAGTCCAGTAAAGACACACTGCCACTCTGAATAAGAGGAGCGACTTACACAGTAGCAGACAGACTCGCCGGAATAGAGGAACAATAAAAAAAAATCTGAAGCATAAACACGTGAATGTGTTATCTAAAACAATAAATATTACGACTATAAACTGAAAAAACAGTAAATGTATACAACAAATCTGATAACTTACTACTAATGGGCAAATTACCTAGTGTTCTGAAGAAATTATACAGGGGGCATAATAAATGTTACATCCGCATCGAGGGTCATAGACAGAAACGGTAAAATGTCATAATCAAATGCACTTGTCAAAATAATTGCACTAGAGGCTGTCTGCTGCTGCAAATAACAAAGAGGATACTGAATAAAAATTACAATAAATTTCATGCCAAGATCTCACAGCTCATTTGAGAGGTGACGTTTACCTGGTCCATCAAACACTTTCGAGAAAAACGTTCTTTAATTTTCACGAAAAAGGGAGAATAGCGCAGTAATCACGGTAAACAGTATAAATAGATTTTCATTCCAAAACACGCAAGATATATAAGTAAGCGAACGTTACAAATGGTATTCGTCCTGTCAGAATAACATACGTCCAAAATATTTCGCTCAATTTGGCTAACTCGCGACGACACGAAGGAAATTACGAATGGATAATTGGAATTACACGTCAGATTGATAAGTAGATACAAGAAAACATACCAACAGCTTAGACCCCATAAGATTTCCTATCAAAATCCCAATTCAAGTATCGGCGTTCAGAGAGTTAGGTGACTGCTAATGGGAAGAAAGTCTCAAGCGACAACGTCTTGTTGTCTCTCGACGATTTGGTTACAACGCTCCACACGCAACACCTGTTAAATGGCAGGGTCACGTCGTAAAATTATCACCCCAGACCGAGTGCACAGTGAGTGGATGATGTTTCCGCCCAGGCATCCACAGTCACTTCAATGTGCCCCTGGCGTTTTACACAAAACATCTCCATTAAATGATGACAAGTTGACTGTCCAGTGGGACGACACTATGGGGGTTGTCTTTGCCAAGTAACTATTCTCCCGCATCTCGTCAATCGTTGCAGGACTGCGACCCTGGCCTGCTGGTGGAGCTCGTCTTGAAGCTGAAATTGCAGGTGTTCTCGCCTGGGGACTACATCTGTCGAAAGGGCGACATCGGAAAGGAGATGTACATAGTCAAACGCGGCAAGATCAGTGTCGTGGCAGACGACGGAAAAACTGTGTTCGTCACGCTGAGTGAAGGCACCGTGTTCGGAGAGATCTCCATTCTCAACATCGCCGGTAAGTCGAAGTGAGCAGTGACTGTTGTGTCTGCTTCACTCAAACACACTCAAATACCCATAGAAAAGCCAAACATTAGAGAAACAATCGACAGTAGGGGAAACCCGAGTCGAGTTCTTCCATGACTGGTCCAAGTCAGACAAAAACCAATTCACTCTTCGGGTGTTCGAACGCGAATGTTAAAAAAATCCCAATCAAGGAACTATGCACGCTCGATGATAGCCAAGAAGGGTAAACAGAAAGTCCCCGTGTGTGGCTACTCACACAAAATGGAAAGTGATTGTGCCCAAAAACCCAATGCAACACTTCCTCGCCTCCATTCGCGATTTTATAATACACTAGGAGAGGTATAGAGAAAGTAGGCAGTCGTTTTCGTTCTACTCGAGTCGTCACACCGCAGTCAAACACTGAACTCAGCCCACACGCAAACAGCGGACCAGACACGCTGCCTGAAGTGCTTCGTTAGGCAACACAATTTCTCATACTTCAGATTATGTTAAAACAAACACATTCCCAGCGCTGGACGAGAATAACTTACTGAGACCCATCAAAATACTAGGAACACAAAATCTCGGCTAATAAAACGAACACTAACCACAAACAAGACGAGGGAAGGACCATACAACGGTCAAACGAAACTGGCACAATTTGCCAAAAGCAGAAAAAGCCGCTTGGGAGCAATCAAGTGCTCTTGAATTCTCAAAACCGGTGCAATCAAGAAAGTGACACGCAAATCTGGCCCACGTGTTCAAGTTAGCAGTGCATTAGAAAAATTCGGCGTCGCTGAATCAGACGTCAGATTAGTCCGAAATACATACGTTGTCAACTTCATTCAACGCTCATACCCCTCCCTCATTGCTATACCCTTGAATTGCCACTCTTGCACAATGGTGTCTGTCAAACTCGAATCTAACAACTTGCAGCCACATATGATTTTTTTGCTTTTTTATCTAGGCAACAAAACAGGAAATCGTCGAACAGCAAATGTCCGTTCTGTTGGCTACTCTGACCTCTTCTGCCTTAGCAAGGACGACTTGTGGGAAGCACTAACCGAGTACCCTGAGGCGAAGGACAAACTCATGGAGGTCGGTCAACAGATGCTTAGGAAGGACAATTTATTGGACGAAGAGTTGCTTCGCAAAGCCGAGGAAACCAGAGAATCGACTGAAATGAAGGTCAGTCGGATCGACTCAACCTTGGAGCAAATAAGTGTCAAATTGGCAAGGCTCATGAGCGAGTACGGGTCTAGCCAGGCGAAAATGAAGAGACGACTGGCCCGGCTTGAAAAACAGAGGTTCGAGCTACCAACCCTGAACATCGGAGAGGATAGTACGAATTCGGAATAAATTTTACTCACATTCAAAAAGTAGGCATGTCTTATTGAATCGCAATCTTACCACAATGCGACCGGGTCGTGCCACGCATCAAGCGAAACCTATCACCCAAAAGTACCTTAGCCTGAAGCAAGAGGCACAATTTTGCAGACAGTATTGATTATTAATCAAGTGTGTACAAGTGCATAGGTGTGAATGTCTATCAAATTTGATTAAAATAAAATTGCAACGCTTTTTATTGCATCCTTACATCCTGATTGTTTTCAAACAGAGTTCGTCAGCTTATCATGTATGTGTTGGCAAATCCGGTATATTGGTAGGCCAACGACGTTGAAGTAATCGCCCTCTATTCCGCGAATCAGGCTGCAGCCAAGGCCCTGGATACCATAACTGCCTGCCTTGTCTCTAAAAAGAGAATTATTAATTTCGCAATACAGAAATAGCGGAAAGAATTAAAGTGCAACGCTAAAAGTTGAAGTCTGATCAGTGACAGGTTGAATTCTCAAAATTCACAAGGCACACATGCTAAGATTGCACACAAATTCTAGGGCTACCGAAACCTCATCAGAATTTGAGAATAAATACCAAAAGTCACCCCAAAATAGCACGTGTTAAGGATGGCGATATGGCAAAACCAAAGGTTCAGCTACTTCACGGGAACGATTCACTCAAGGCAAACACTCACAGTAGAGGAAGTGGGTATAGATGTGTTGAGTCAGACTGCTAGCCGAGTTTAAGGCATCATATTGGCAGAAACGTGTAATTGTTCAAAGTGTTATAATGTAAATAAACGGAAACCAAAATATCCAGCTACTCTTAGTTGTTATTTTAATTAATGAACTTTCAAGCTTGCAACAAGCAAATGGTATTTGTTGATTAAGCATCTTTTTCAAACATTGTGGTCCCTAGTAATGCGAATTTCACTATTTCCTGTTCCTGTCCTAAAACTTTTTTCTTCAGATATTGGTAAGAATATTGTCAGCAAAAATGTGAGAGACGTCTAATGAATCCCACCATACACACCAACAGCGTTAGAGTCAATCAAGTTGTTAAAAACACAAAATTTGGACTACTTAGCCACAAAAGTACAAGCAACAAGTACAAAACTATATACTAATAAACCATGATAGTCACATTTTAAAACGCGAAGGGTTATTAACATACGAATGCTTACTAAGCGCAATACAATTATAGCAAGGAATCTCACAGAGGTTCGCCCGTTTTTACGTAACCGTCAATTGTATGTTGATCCAGTGTTGCCATGTGAACCCTCGTCTGTTCAGTAAAGCAATGAAATTCTGGTTCGGTGCCCATCCACACAAGACAAACACCCGTGTAAACTTCGTGTACTTGACCCGACAACCTACATGGGATAAGTTGATAGTTAAAGGAACATACATAGCGAGAGTTGCATTGGCTTCCGCTTCACCTGACGGCTTGCCCAATACCTTCCCCTCAAAAACAACTACCGTGTCCGCAGCTATAATCAGGTCGGGAGGCTAACAAAATATTAGCAATTGATGTGACCGTTTTACCTCTTTGAGCAACCGTAAAGCTCCTTTGGCCTTGGATTCAGCAAGGGCTTCAACAAACTCGAAAATATTGCTGAATTCATCAGGATTAAGGTCTTCAGGTACATTTGGATTGACTATGTTAAAGGCCAGATTCTACAATCCACGTTGAGGGAGAAATTGGAGCAACAAACACAGGCTGTGAGGATTTCTTTGCGGCGAGGAGAAGTACTTGCTAGCACGATGGACAAATTTTCGAGTTTTTTACTTACAGCCGTTAGCATGTTGGATCGCAAACTAAAACCAAACCAACATTAACTACGATAGGACAAACTGTGTGGGAAATAAAAATTGAAATTCTAGTTTGAGGGGTCATATTTACAAGAACATGTGATGGTTCCAAAGACACAACTTTTTTACAACACTTAAAGTATCCCAAATTTTTCAATGCGACCCAACAGCACTGTCTAACCCGCATTACAATTGAGAAACAACCGGTACTACTGGATGCTAATAGCCAAATCACGAAGGGTTCGGTATTTAGCCTCACGGTTGAGACAAAATTGAGTCAAGTTTTGTGTTTATGCATCTAACGAAGGTCGAAGGACGCAATAGTTGAATTAAGTCCCCTAAGCGTATATTGCCATAGAAGGGGCCAAAAATTATCGGTGTTCGAGTGCGAAATCCTAACTTTAACTTGTGTTTAATCATGCGAGGAATTGATACAACTCGTTGCACGCTTATTTCGTTACATTGACAGCTAAGTATCTGAAAAGTAACACCCAATGTAATTAAGTTCAAAACTCGGCAAATTCTCAGAAGACCGTCCCATCAGATTACCAGACAGCTTGGGGAAACATATTATTTATGAATTGGATGCTGCTGCAACGGTACGAAGTTATATTTTTATGATGAGATTAAAAGCTATCGCAAATGATTCTTAATGATTCTACTTCGAAATTTTTGCTGGCGAATATCAACTCCTAACAAAGCTATTCTCAGAGAACATATTAAAATAGAACCCATGCCGTTGGAAGTAACGTAAAATCAAATACCAGGATGTGTATATATCAACTCGAAAAGTCCCATCGTATGTGAGGAATTATGACATTTGATCAATCGAAACCCATTGAAAATGTCTACAGTCGTGACAAAAAATTAACATTGATTTACTTCCAATCTTGCACTTTGTCAAAAAAACGACGAAGTAGATATTGCGTAGTTGAAACTGAGTTTTATTTCCCCAGAAATGTTTGCACATTTCCCCTACATGTAGATCCATAAGGGCGCAAATTCGTTTGCCACAGTCCAGAATACAATAACTTCGGAATGCGCAATCTCACATTATGAAATCGTAAACTTCGAGAAAAGGCGTTGACCTTAGGAGAATATTACATCTGAGAGTTGCAGTTTTTGTCCTGTTCAATTTTTTGATTGTGGAACAATGCATTCTGCATAATACGTTGTAAATTAGAAAAAAACATTAAATGAGGTTATGCGATTTGAATTAGATAAAGATAGAACACGGTAGTAGGAATAAGCTAACAGCATTTAAAAGGGTAACGCATTTATTTAAACAGCTTTATGTAATTAAATTTTGTTTCAATAACTTACTAAACACCTTTGTTCAGCCGAACAAGTTATAAAAAGCCGCCGTTAACAAAATGAATTTTAACGATGTATTCCAGTCTTTCATTAAAGATCAGATTACCGAAATAAGCTATATCATATAAATTGTTTAAAAAATTGTTTAATGGTTCAATATTGTATTATCGTAGGAAGTAATTTATTGTATTAGGAAATATAAACTTTATTTGCTAACAAAAATATTTACCAATATCTGAAGAAAAAAGTTCTAGCACAGGAACAGGAAATAGTGAAATTCGCATTGCTAGGGACTACAC